TTTGATTTCCTCCACGATGTCGCGGGCCATCAGAAGAAGGGGAAGTAACTGTTTTCGGTGAAGCAGTACTCGGTGAGGCTTTTGTAGCATCCCTGAAACAGAAGACAATTAAATTGTTAAAAGAATTGGAGTACAGAGGTCTTACTGTACCACTTAGATATTTAAAAAAAAGAGTTAATTATTAACTGGAATATTGAGAAAAGATGGTTGTGGTCACCAGACCTTCACACTGAAATCATCATTTGTTCTGACATACTTCAGTAAAAGATATTGAGATTCTAACTCTCTAACTGTGCCACAACCCTTCTACCAAGAACTCTATTCACAGTCAACTGTCATTGTGTGTCATTCAATGAGTCATCTATTGTTATAGGCTAAGTCTCATTGTTTTAGCTGAAAATGGGTGAAGTTTTTAGACTAAAGAGGTGTGACTAATGGCCGACGAGTGGCTCCTTGAAAAATATGGACTTACATGTCACCGGAAGGACCTGAACTACCCTGAGTTCCTTTACCAATATCTTTCTTTTTATCTCGTCGTTTACCACGGTAATACGACCTCTCTCGTCGTGGTAACCATCTTTCTTGATCTAAATCAGCAGGACTAACATTCGCGTCATAATTCTTGGGTAATTTTCCTGAAATAATTTGAGCATACGAGTTAGAAACCAGACATACATTTTCCTTAATTTGGGCAATGAACAGGACGAAAAGTTGCATAAGAGTTGCGTTCTAAACATATTCTTATTCGTAACCATACTTAACTGGTGTAAGGGCAGCTTAAGATTAAGACTTTAGACAGCTCATATCACTTAATGTCTATGTATTTCAAACCTACCCTTCTTTTTCTTTTTATTCTTCTTCTTGGTGATCAAACCATCTCCAGCTGGACTTCTGTAAATATAACATAAGTAATAAATGATCAGCCAGAACCAGAAAACCCAATCTTATGGTAATCTTCAATTACATCTAACAGTAATCAATCAATCATTAAAATTGATCCTTCAATCACCTTATCAGTAAGGGGTGGGACGTAGTCTTGAACACACTGGCCATGGCATCAAATAGATTGGTTTCAAATAACACTGCATACAAGCGTCGACAAAGACCTCAAAGAGCAAGAGCCAATATGTTTCTTATACAAATGAACAATGAACCTTCGGCAGTTGACAGTTAGATAATGAGGTAAGCTGACAAAGTATGGCAGTACATTACCAATGTGGCCAAGTCAATGTAATTACAAGACTTAAACATCGTTTAATAAAACTTACGCAGCAGGTGAAGCCTCTGCTTTCTGTGTTTTTTTCATGTATTTGTGTCCCAGAGTACTGAATGATGTTTCTAATAATACTACATCTATATCTTTAGCTATTTCTTCTACTGGTGGTAGTTCTTTACTTAATCTAAATACTAGGTTAAAGATTTATAACTTGTCTTGAATTTAAACTAAGTATTTCAAATAAGGGAATGAGGCAATAAATATTCATGATGTCACATGATAATCAAACTGGCCAATCAACATGCTTGTGAACAAATAATTCATGAATATTCATATGAAATTTTTTCTCTCATTCAAAGCTACTTGGATAAAGTGATCAACTGTTTCTTATTGATAAGGGGTGCGGTTTTTCACAGTTTTAAAATACTGAGCAAAGGCTTTCACCCATTGGGCAAGAGCACAAATAAGTTTTGAAAAGGATACTGTTGTGCCTTATTGGTATCAAAAGTAGAATAAGCTGAGATCAGTTGAGCTAGAACTCTCGAATCTTTGGGATTAGCTCTGAAATAAATAAAATAATCAAATAAAGCAAGATAACTTAGAATTAAATGTATTATATCTGGATAGAGAGAATTTATGGAAAATCTTGATTTGTAATGCTAAACATCCTTAATTTGAAACACACTTGAATTTTGATTTTAAGATATTTTGCGTAGATACATGAAAGACAGTCGAATTATACTGCAATTTTCTGAACTATATTTCAATGAACATATATTATACAGATTAATAGATACATACTTTCTAAGGTCCTCTAACATACCAGCGGCTATACTTGGTTTACCAATCTTCAGTTGATAATCAGCATTAGCTCTGGTTATAGTGATCAATTCTGGAGATTTAGGCTGGAAGATACCAATATCATCAAAACAAAACTTGATAATTTAATAGAATAGTTGGTACACAAGATCCAAGCAATCCCAGATCTCTAAATTCAACAGATATATCTAATTCCAACAGAGGTATAGGTTGAAGTTAAAAAAAATATTTATTTATTAGTTCAAAAATTCCATTGTTATGCATCTATATCAGAGTCTGTCTTGCGTGGTTTTCTTCGTCGTGTAAGCTAAAAACACTTGACACCAAGAGCTCTATTCATATTTCAGCAAAATATTGTCAGTGAAATCTTATCATTAATTAAGTATCATAATAAACAACACTAATGAGTAAATACCTCGTTAGCTTTGTACCATTTAACAGCATTAATTAATACATCTGATGCTGATTCTCTATCTTCTTGTGAATTATACAGTGTTACTAGAGCTGATACCTATAATATAATGATGGAGTTGTTAATGGCTTTGTTTAAACAATCTCACAGTAAACAGGTCTCAAGGGTTGGTGGATTAAATCTTTCAGAGGGAGTGGGGAATAAAGGTTTCTAATATTTAACTAAAAGGCATTTTTTATTTCCAAAAATAAGAAATTTACATCTGTGACTATGTGGTCTCCCAGAAAGTAATGCCAAGTGGAAATGAGGTTTTTGATTTTGGACAAAAAGTAATATTTCTACAGAAGGAGAAGCCAAGACTATGTGGACTCTCTGAAAGTGATGGAGAGTTGATAAGGTGAAAATAAGAAGAATAACTTACAATTCCAGGTTTATACTGTAGATTACCCAATGATTTCAGAGTATCACAAGCTGGATATATAGAACCTTGAGTTAAATATAGCTGTACTATTACTAGCTTTAAACTGAATGCTTGTTCAGGGTGTTTCTCTACATAGCTCTACAAATGCAAAATATTACATAAATAAGTAATATACCTTGGTGAAATACGCCATTTTAGACAATACATATGAGGATATCTTCTGTCTCAATCAACAAATCCTAATCTGCACTAGATATACTCGGGAAGGAGTGAGGGCAAGGACCACATACTAATGGATGATATTGTATTGATTTTTGGCATAGAAACTAATACCTGAGTTTGTGTTTTTGGACAAATATCTAATTATGACATATGGCATATGACAAACCGGAATACGTTAAATTACAAAAATTTATTGGATACGACCAAAACTGAGGCTCCATTAAGACCAAATATCATGATAAAACACTCACCTTCAATAATTCTATAGCTTGATTGAGTTTTTTATCTTTAACATATTGGGCAGCCTCTATGAGAACAGGAGTATCTAGATCTGGATACTGTTTAATTAATGATTCAGCTAATTTATGACATTGGTCTCCCTGAAATACAATAGGTCATTACCACAAGAACATGGAAATACAACAAGAACTGACCATGGGGCACCAACAATATATTACTATTAAAAGATATATGGGCATATAAAATATCAACCCAATTCCAAAATTTTAAGTAATCTTAAGGCTACAGAGATAAAACTGTATAAAATATTTTCCATGCCCACCCCATTTTTAAAATTGTTAGTATGTGAGGTTTAAGAAATTAAGACAAGACTGACCTGGCCTGAGTACATATGTAACAAACATTGATTGATAACAATACAGCCTTTCTGTTTCTTGGATAATTTCTTCTGTATATTCTCTCCTGTAGCAATCTTTAACTTCTTCTTCGAATCAAACATATTCTGATCCTATTCAAAATAAAATAAATTTCTCAAGTTGAACTCAAAGCCTTCATCTGAGTCTTATTGTCAAAAAAATTCTTATTTTAAGATAATTATAAAGTTAAAAAAGTGTCTGTGAAGTCTTTCAACCCTAGCAGCTGGTTTACCGGCCACACACTACCGCAATATATACCCGAGCAGCCATACGCTTTTACTTTTATTACTTGGAGTTCAGGATATATGACGTTATATTTCATTTACACTCAGGGTTCAAAGGATAAATGCAATTCTTACCTTATTAATAGTAACTATATTATTAGAAACAACACCTAATAAAGATAGATCAGATGGTCTGAAAGAGATAAAAGCAAATATATACTGAATTGTTTGGGGAAGTTTGTCATGCATAATAGTTCAATATCCATCAAGTAAAGAGATGAACTTCACTGTTCAAACCCTTTCATCTTCAATGAAGTAGTTTATAATTTTCAATAATTCCTTTGATGATTCTTATGACCATGACACTGTGGGAAGTTGTATTGACTAACTAATTCAAAAATTCAGAAGTGAATTAATCAGAGGCCAAAAAATATAACAACTTACTTTGATTTCATACAGAGGTTGTAAAGTTCTGAAGCTTCTTTAGGTTTATTAATACATTGTTTAACATAACCTTGCTGTACCCTGAAATAATAATAATAATAATAATAATAATCTATAATTCTTATATTTAGATCTCCACGTCTTTGGGTTGGTGTTAGAAAACAACTGTTTGGATTTAAAAAAACTAAACGCCAAATTGTATAAAAATATCCTCTACTTATTCTGAAGTTCCAAAACTTTATTGTTAAGGCCTTAGTTTTTATTAATTTGAGCGTCTTACATATCCAACCGACTAAAAAACAAATAGACTGCCTGATTAAAACAGGGAATTCCCCTACCTAATCAATCCCAGTTCCTCTTCTAGCTCCTCTTCAGTTAATTCCTGATCACCACGCAATATAGACTCAGCCTTGTTCAGTTTCTCTTCTGCTGTTTTATAATCTTCTTTACCAATATACTGACAGGCTTTATTATAACATATCTCATACGTATCTTCTTCAAACCCTGGATCATCCTGAAAATAGCAGAAAATGCATAACAAAATTCCTTGTCTAATATGCAAGGTCATGTATCATGATGTTTTCTACACAGCTACTGTATTTTGTCTCTTTGTTTTTTTTCTAATTCAAGATGTTAACATCAGCATACACAGTCAAAGAACATTGGAGCAAGGTTTCTTCCTTTTATAATTGCAATCATTATCAAAAGAAAAATGTATTTTATTTCTTTTTACCATTTCCTGGTCATCCCACATTTCAAGAGAGGCAATAACAGCTCCCATATTGGTCTGACGTTCAACTTCACAGTCATCCTGAAAAAGAGATTCAAGGAAAATATTAATAATGTTGACTGAAAATAACAGTAGTTTTATTAAAGCTGGATATAATGTACCCTCCAAATTTCTATTGAACTCTTCAACATATGCACATTTTTCATCAATATATTCAAAATCTGTGCATCCTGCTAGCTATGATTTCCAAATTAGAATGATCTGGGTTTTATAAATCATGAAATTTCTTAAAGTTTTGCTGACCAAGTTGCAGGGAATTACTTACATCTGAGTTTTTGACCAGATCTCTGTATAAATCATAACATTCTTGATATTCTTCAAGTCTGTATAGCTTAAATAATAACATAAGATTTTAAAATTATAACAATCAGCTTCTGTTTATAGTGTTGAGAAACTAGACACAGTTTTCATTCAACATGAACTATTGGTACCTGAAAGAGATCTGATCATATTCATAAATCAATAATATTCTACCTACCACTTGAGCCAGTAATTCTTTCATTCTATAGTCTAAATCCTTAACAGCTCTCAGAGTTTTCAGGGCTTCTGAAGTTCTGTTCAATCTGTACTGACAGTATGCCTTCTCAAAATCCATTCCACTGTAGTAAAAAAAAATTAGTAACTATTTCCTTATGCCCTTCTTTTACAAAACCAAACAACAGGCAGGGATTAACATCATAATGAACCATTGGAGTTTTACATCCTAGTTTGATTTTCAAATTTTCTTATTGACAAAAGTTGATTCTTAAAAATTATTATCTCTAAGACTATCAAAACAGTTCCAGACTTTGCGTTAAACTTACGTAATTTTATTCTTCTGTATGAGTGCCAATGCATTTTCAAACTGGTCAAGTAACATCTGGCAGACAATTTTATATTGAACAGCTTCAACTTCATCTCCCTTGTTACCTAGAACTAAATTATTTCGGATAAAAATTAGCTTTCCATATGCATAAACTTGAATCGTGAATTGTTCGAGCTTCTTTTGTGTCATTTTCACACCTCCTTTCACCCATGTGTAGCAAAAATTATTAACAATAATTATCAAATGACTTGGTCTTGAGGTGCCTTAAGGCTTCCTGGACAGGCATGAACACCAATGTTTTTCAAAATTTCTTTACTCCAGGTAGGCTAAACGGGAGTGCCAGCAAAATAGTGAAAAGAAGCTTGAAAGAAGCTGGGCCATACGTTGCAAAGTCTTCAAGGACAAGTTGATCATTAGATTAGTTGACATTAGATTAGCTAAGCATGTAAATAAAGACCAAAGAGGAAAACAGCTGGATAGTATAGATCTAGACGACCTGAAAAAATAAAAATCTGGAAAATCAATGAGTGAAACTTACTTTGGTTGCAAACCTTGATCGCCTTGGCATACTCCTGTTTCTGCCCCAATTTTTGGAGATCGCCATACAAACCAGCGATTGTAGTCTCCCTGTCTGGATTAACTTCATCCTTCTTCTTATTTCTTGACATTTTCAAGACAAATCTTACAATCTGTTCCTTTCTTGCACGCCACGAATTATACAACAGACTAAACCTTCCTTCACGATTAAAGATTCAGTGCTGATGGAGTTAGCTCCCTTAGTCACTTCAGACTACAGTTAAATAATTCCCTTGTCTATTAGTAACTGGATATGCTAGAAGGATGGATAATTAGCAGAAACAATGGCTTTGCTTTGAATTAATCAATATTAGGATTTAAATGTAACTGCTTGAGCTTATTCATTGGGCTTGCAATTTTTAGCTGTTTGCCAAGCTATTTGTGTTGCATACATAGGGTCCTCTTCAACTCTGACCGGTTCTAGGCACGAGGATCTTATTGCCATCAAGGCTCACCCTATTATCCCAGATTTTTGTTAAAACGACTGAGCTTTCCCAGCTCCAGTGAGGTCTATGATTGACTGTGTCTATCCCAATACAGGCTTGACATGTATATGAACCCTTGTGCAAATTATGACAATTTGGGGTGTGGTTTGGACACAATTGACAATCTGGTGAGCGACAACTTATAAGGCCAATAACTGGACCTCCTTTGGTAGCATGACTATATGGATCTTGTTAAGAAAAACTCTTCAAGAGCTCAAACATAATTCATTTTATTTCAATGATATGTTCAAACTATCTTGTGCTCTTAAATAGTATATACATTTATACACCTTGAATATTACAGGTATAATAATAACATCTCTATATCATGTGACCATCGAATAACCATAGCA